CATGGTTTCGGGCCGTTGAATGACTGATCCTTTTCTGGAACTGTTTCTCCTCTTGCATTAGATTTTAGTTATAATTTTTAATTCACTTGATATCATTTAGTGTCACTTGAAAGCTTATTCAACAAGAATAAGTTGGTTGAACATTTTAATTGTATTGGACGTAGCTAGTAGGAATTGAATTAAGTTAGTTGTTTGACACTACACTATTACTTTATGTTAATCAGTAGTTTCTTTAATTTGGTGAATTTAAAGGGAAGGGAATAGTAAAATGTTATTCTTTTATTTTATTTTATATTTTCTAAACTTTAATTTGTTTAATAAATTGTTATTGTTAACTTAAACATTTGGATTTTGACTGCTTAAATCCTTCATCTTCCCAAAGTGATTGGCTCCACAAATTAACGCTGGAGAACCTACCTCAAATAAATTTATCCTTCTTGTGGCGCAAACCGCTCTGACCGTAAAAGAATTCAACTTTTATCCAAGAGACTTAAACACCCGCCACAGTAGATAGTTGTAATCCTCAGATCATAAGAAAAATGGTTTTATAGTGGGTTGGCATTTAAAAAAATTAAAAAAATTGTAGAACCCAAAAACAAACAAAAAATTTCAAAAAATTTTATTCTTGATAAAACATCATATTTTTATAGTAATTTATCATTCATCAATTAGTTTTCGAAAAAAAAATTATAACGATTAATTCCATACTTTTTATTCACCTGGTATGTTTTCTCATAATTATTTAGTATAGGTACAAAAATTTTGCCAATAAAAGCTACAAAGAACGTTAAACATAATTACAATTTAGAATACAGCTTCCTTGTTTCCCCTTCAAATAACCTGTAGCAAAAAAACTTGGAAAATTATTTTTCCAACAGAAATAAATAGAGTCAAAGTGCAAAATTTAAACTGCCAAACTGCTAAAAAATAAACATAATACAAATCAGGAATCATTGCTGCGTTCGCATACTTAATACAAAATAAATACATGAATAATGATCTATTTCAGTTGTCGAGCAGTATATTATTATGTTATTAATAGGTAGAAAGCTGCAATAGTTATTTATATGACAAGCTACGAAAGCTTACTTTTGTGACAATACAAAAACATTATTTTTGACATTTATCAAATCTTGAAGAAGCTGCAAATACTACATGCAGAAGTTTGTTGCCGAATAAATCCAAAGACCGGTACAATCAAACGTATGAAAATTTTATTAAATGGTGTGCGACGAATGAAGATTTCACTGAAGATGTGTTATTGGCATTTTTCTTAGAAAAATCAAAGACATTGTCTCCTGCTTTCGATTGCCTTATCAAAATAGAAAGTTGCACTTTCGTAGGGGGGAGACTGAAAAATGCTTTTCTCCACCAGACATTCACGTTAGGGTAACAACTGAATGTTTTCCTTTAAAAACAAATATTAATGTTTACATACACAATATACTTTAAGCAATTGTAGCAGTACTAGGTACAAACCCATGTATCAATAAATAAATACTATAAAAATTGGTAAAAAAATATTAGAGAGTTACTAAATAACGACCAAAAATTTGCAGCATTTTAAATTTTAATTTTTAGCGTTTCAAAGTATCCCTCAAAAAAAAAGTAATTGTCCACAAATAAAAACAGAAGTCGTACCCCAGAGAAAAATATCAAATGTCGGCGGCAATAGGTCGCCAAAAAGTGCAGCCGAAGAAGTAACCTTAAAACACACATTGCACTGTAATTTATGTTTTCTTCCACCCACATGAATTTACTACATAGGACCCTTTGACCCCTTGCTTCCTTTTTCATTAAACAATCCACAAGAATATTGCAATATTGATATTTAAATCAGTTGATATTCCGCAACAGTCCACAAATTTACAGAAAATCATTGCTGAAAAGCATTTGGATTTTCTTTTTCCCAAATACGAGTCAGTCAGTTGTGATGATTACCTCTTTGATGCATCCGGTGCTATCTTAAAAAATCAAGAATGACTTCTTCATTTTCAAATATGCGCGCCTCTAATTTCTTTTTGGTCTGGTAGGACCGGTCTTGCACCCTGTCAATGGCCTTAACTTATGGCTTAACTTATCGTTTGCCAAGATAGGGAATTTCAATGCATTTTTCGAAAAGGTTTTTCTCGGCTATTATAAGGAATTTTTTGGTTTTTATTTTTTTGATGAAACCATTTTAGATATTTCTAGGGATATTGTTATGTAGCAAATTTAAATTCTTATTTTTTATATATTTTTCAACTTATTTTTTATAATAAAATTATAGTATTTATATGGAAACTAACAATGTCCTTCATACATGTACCAAAGACCTTAAGAAAAAAATGAAATCATTCCGATAATTAATAACTGTAAAATCTCTTGTGGAAAATATTATTAACTTTCGTAGTGTGAAAATCGTCTTGTCTCTCTCAACCCTAGTTCTTTTTCACAACAAACTGAGCTTACCGTAAGCAGACCCCCATTACCGGTTTTATCTGATTTAGGACCTTACGAGGGATGTTTCGCATCTATAAGGAAACAACTAAAAGTACAAGCGGTAAAATTAGGTCATTTTAAGAATTGATGTAAAAGATGAATAAATTTAATAAGACTATGTATTTACACCCTGGTGTAAATAAAATAGAATTACCTGTAATTCTATTTTTCACCAAAAATTAAGTCTAATTATTATGCAGAAATGTTAGGAATAACTTGAAGCCCTTTTTTCTTACTGGATACCTGCTATGGGTTTTTAATCCGTTAGGGGTAGCTACTGATATGATGAAGTTTACAAAAGTAGTACTTGTTGTCTTCATAAGAAAATACTGTTTATTACTTGAAGGTATGTAGGTAGACAAGAGGCTTATTTTCCTATTTGGCTGTTTCTAAATAAATTAAAGGTAAATATTTACATTATTTGAAAAAGGCTGTAAATTAAAAAAGTCCGGGATATTATACTACTAAATATGTAAATGCACAACAAAAAATAAAAGCAAATAATTTAAAACGAAAATTAAATAAAAATAATGACAACAATCTAGTAAACAGAAGAAAAATTACTGAAGAAGCAGATGATGATGATTATGGTTGTGTTGTGCAAAGATGTTTTGAAAGTAATTAAAAAAACTCCTGAAGCAATTCAGATAATTTTTAATCAAACAGTTTTATTACAATCACTATTTACCAGCTTATGCTGAAATGTGTTTAAAAAATAGTTGCTCTATGTAAAATACAACCGCTTGTAACTTGTAACGTTAGTGTTTTTTATTCCATTTGTTACTGTAATAAGTGCTAAATAAATAAATAAATAAATAATTCAGCCCTACAGGGTTCCTGCTTTCCGGTCGCTAGATTGGAGAGTACCCTGCTTTCCGGTCGCTAAATCGGAGAGTTATAAATGATAATAAGTAATTGTCAAAAAATTAGTACTTTATGTAGTATTTTTTGTCTCTCAAAATGTTTTTATTTTTTGTAACTTTTTGTAATACACATAATTCCTAAGCACAAACTGTCCTCAGTGAAATTAATATAAATATTAATTTTTTTTTAGGATTACGTATTGGGCTTAGTGCCTTTATATTAAACCTATCAATTTTTTAATTTATTTTTAAATAGATGAATAAAATAAAAAAATGTTGGTCCATGAAAATGAAATGAAAGAAGGCGGATTAAAAAGCAAAAATCTTTAAGTACTTACACGTTTTTATTTTAAATTGAAATAAGAGATCCTAATTAAACATAAAAAAATACAAATTAACTCACGAAAGTAACAAAAAATAAAATAAATTTTTAATACTTTTTATTGTTACAAATTTAAAGAAAAGATAGAATACTCATTTTTAAAACAAGAATTTTCTATGAACATATATAGAAAAATGCTACGCAAGGGGTGCGTCTTTTAATAAGTTTTTTTCCAATATGTATTTCCGAAATCATTTTAGAAAAAAATTTCAAAATTTGGTACAGATGATAGCTTTTATGCACCTAAACAAGTCCAAAAATAAAATGTTGAAATTTTTAATTAAGGGCTTACTAAAATAGATGGGATTAGGGTACAAATTTACTGTAACTATTTTGCCTGTGGTTTCTTGCCACATTCAGCAACAAAATTTCATATTTTTTCATAAAAAAAGGTCTTTTGTGTTTTTCCGATACAATTTACGGATTTTTAGTAAAAATCGGTTTAAAAATTTATGTTACAGACCATAAACAGCATAAAAATTAAAAATTAAATTTGTTTTACCGTTTAGGACGCACCTGATTAAAAATTTTGTTATTTGGCATTTGTTTAGGTGTACATATAAAGGTACCAAATTTTGTAATTTTATCTATTCTGAAATATTAGGAAAAACCCTTTAAAAAACGTACCTTTTTAGGGGGTGTAGTTCCCTTTCATACCATTTTTCGAAACACTTTTCGTCTTAAAATTAAATATTCTACAACTATTTAAATTTGTACCTAACAATAAAAATGAAACACTGTATAATTAACACATGAAAAATTAATTCACAAAAATTTAAAATTAACTCACTAACCCCCTAATCCCCCCCTTGGGTACGGCCCTGCACATGACGGAAATTAATGAATGTCAAAATTACAGTAAAACAGCTATTTTTTGAAACTTGACATTTTTCTCTGGGGAGCGAGTTCTGGCGCACCTGTATACTGGTAGGTTGTGCATTATGGTGATTATATTCTTTTGGTTCAGTTTTATTGAGTATATTTTGAGAAAAAAAAATTAAAGATTCAAAACATCAATATACATAACATAATGCTTTCGATTTTAACATATGATTATTTGTTATCATATAAGATTTATGTCAAATAATAACGTTACTTATAACAAAACAAAATTTAGAAAAACATAGTTTATTACGTACATACCACCAAGACGAATTTGAGTGTATGTATTTATCAATTCAAACTTAGTTTATGTCCTTTTACAAGTTGTGTAAAGAGTAAAATCGAGAATTTGTTCCAATAAATTTAAATATAAAATATATAAAAAAACTTACAAGTGCGAAGGTACAGGGCAAATATCACCGAAAAAATATACAGCTTCATGTCCATATTCCACGAACTTCAAAGAAAATAACGATTAGTTTAGATTTGTGTGATTCATAACCACACCTCAACAACACAATAATGTAAACGTTGCGTGGTCTTCGAACAGGTGGTCAATGAAAGTGGAGGGACTGAGTGAATACCATAACTCGAATCCACACTTCCCGAGTTGAAAGTTCGTAATACAATGGTATCAATTCACGACTGCAAAGTGTGTTGCTGTTCTGTCGTAGTCAAGGCAACGAATTCAAATTCATTACAACTTTAGGGAAGGTAATAAAAAGGCGAAAGAAACTTAATAAATAATACATGTACTTACTGCATTTTACACCTTATTTATGAGTAATTTAAGAGTGGATGTATTTATTGTAATATTTGGGGATGTGGTAGCAGCAAGGAGGTTAGATGGACCTAATAATAATAGTTATTTATTATACAAGACGATAAAGAAATTGTTTATCTACGAGTGAAAAGGTTAAGTTTACGAGTGACGAAGTCACGAGTGGACTTTTTTCACGAGTAGATAAACAATCTTTTTTTAATTTGCGTTTGTAATACGTTTATTAACGTCTGCAGTAGGAGTCGTTTATGGCTATCTATAAAAGCACACTGTACTTTAATGAATTTAGGATTATTTAGTTTTTGTATGCCGCTTCTGACTTGACAGGTAACAAATTTTGCATTGTTGCTTCGTCAATTTCGCGAATTTCGGGCGGAGTGCAAACTAAATTCTATTGGCTCAGATTTTATTTATTATTATTATGTTGTAACACGAATAACTAATAATTTGTAAATTTTATTTTGAATGACAGACGGCAGAAATGAGTGAAAAAATCAGGTGGGCGCCGAGTGTTACCAACCGATACCAACTAACACAAAATTCTCTAGACGACAAAAATATATATTTTTTAAATTAAAATAAGAAAAAAGGGGGCGCAAATTAGAAAAAATTGCATAAAATACTCGTTTTATAATGGCATTGGTGCACTCATCCCATAGAAAACTCGCCTACGGCTCGTTTTCTAACTTGAGATTCGTGCGCCAAATCGACCCTTATAAAACTTGCTCTTTAATATACTATTATCGTCGTGTATAATATTTCGTTTTATTTTGTACTCACCAACCAGAATTTCTTGAATATAAACAGTAGATAAAAATTACTTTATTTCATTAGACGATAAGAGACTACTTTATCTACTGAAATTAGTTGATAAAAGCAATCTTTAACATTAAGTACAAAATAAAAAAAAATATTATCCATGACTATAGCGAAAATTGGTTATAACGAGCAAATACCTTGGTCCTTGAGTTCTCGTTATAGAGGAGTTCTACTGTAATAAAAATAATAAAAATTATTACATATAAAAATGATAAAATTATGTTTTTTTAACTCGTACGTACCTAATTAAATTTTGATATACAGAGTGCGCCAGAACTCGCGCCCCAGGGAAAAATGTCATATAAAGTAATATACCAGGAACATGGGAAAAATGTTAAAAAAAATATCTATAAAAATTTCAAAGTTATGAGAGTTTGACTCTATTTATTTCTGTTGGAAAAATAATTTTAAGTTTCAACAGAGTGTAAAGGATACAGAATCTCGATATATTTTCAGCCCTATTGATACTGATTATTAATTAATTGTACATCGGATCGCAAAATTGAAAATTTTTCTTAGTTTCTGACATGAATCTACACGAGGGTAAAATAAATAATTTAATAAATTAATTAAACACATTTTCATTATAATAAAAATTCAAAAGTTTATTAAAAAAATAACAAATTGACATTTTTTATGTCATGTAGAAGAGTATTCTCTTTCACAGTGAAAACAAAAATTAAAAATATTGATATGTTTTTCCTTATAACTTCAAACGGCCTAGTTCCCCATAATTCCGCAAACTAACTGTTTCGGAGATATCGAATGTGAAAATTTTTAGAATTTCTACTAGAAGCTTCCCTCTTTTGTTTGAACAGACTACAAATAAATGTTTGAAAAAACGAACAATTTTCGATATCTCCTAAATCATGTTTGTTTTGGTCCATACTATTACCTCCTGAAATATTTTACAATCTTTTATTAACACCTTGTAGATTTGATACATGACAATTTTGTGATTCGTTCTCAATGAAACTCTCAGTTTAAATACATTCTTTAATATCCGAACTGTTTAGTTCGTTTGATGTCGGAATCAACTAAGTAACTAACACAGATAAGACAGGTAGTCTTATCAAAAAAAAATCCGCCGCTGCAATTTACCTGAGGGATTAAGGGACATAGGTATTTGAGGGTGCGTTGCAATTTGCTATTTCTTACAGGCCGTCGCTGCAATTTACCCGTGCTGGATGCTTCAGTCATTTATTTGTCGAACACATTTATTTCTATCACTTTCATTGGTACACCTACACTATTAGGACAACTTCCCAATTGAACTTTGATTTTAAAATATTATTCAGGTACTAGTTACGTGCTGAAATCTATTACACAGGGCGACAAAAAAGTCATGTCGTGATAACTTGACAAATTTTATATCATTTTGTTCGTCTCAGTGAGAAAAAATCAAATGCACTAAAAAAAATTTAAAAAGTCCACACACTTTGAACAAAATAATATTTTTCTAATTTAAATGAATTTAACATACTTTAACTTTAGAAAATAAAGACCATTCTAAAGGGATGGCATTGTCATTTAGAATGATATAAAATTTGAAATTGAGTATTGCTAAACTTTTCTTCGAATAGTGTTCGAAGAAGTTCGAAGTAAATCGAAATAATCTAAGAAAAACCCTACGAGTAATTTTTTTTGTTATCATTACCATCGTGTAGAGCATCTCTTTATTAGTTGTAATCCAAATTTTCAAAAAAATATACCGAGTAGTTTTCAAGATATGATTTTTAGAAGTTAAGGTTTGCTAATCAAGCATTGCTCCATATTGGAGAAATACATGTTAATCTTACTTAAAATTGCATTTTTATAAAAGTATTTGTTCTAAGACTTTTCTTTTGCTTAAAAATGGTCAATTGCACCTTCTTTGTTCTAATTACAATAAACAAAAACTGTTTGTTTACTTAAAACAAATAAAGAGTAATACCTGCGTACTAATTAAAGCAAATAAAGAGTTTTTTTGTTGTAAAAATGACTACTAATCATTGAGCAAAGAGGATCTAAACGTTTAAGGCACGAGTCTTAAATGTCACGGCAAATCTTTTCAATCAAATCACTTTCCATTCAGACTTCGACTTGTTCACTTTGTTCTAGCTTTCTGAACTTTTTTTGAAAATGTTCTGAGCAAATGCTTTCTTATCACATTCGAGTGATGTTAAATGCAATAAGTCACCTGATTTATTTTGTTGGTACATTCTACGATTAGCTTCAGTTAGCTTGTAGGTAGTAGTTGTTGTGATAACAGTTGCACACGAAGCAACTGACTTATTGCATTCAACATCAGTAGAAAGTGATGAAAAAGCATTTGCTGAGAATATTTTCAAAACAAAGTTCAGAAAGCTAGAACAAAGTGAACAAGTTGGAATCTGAATGGAAAGTGATTTAATTTGAAAAAGATTTGTTCTTATATTTAAAGCTACTGCTTTAAACTTCTAGATCCTTTTTGCTCAATGATCAGTGATCATTTTTAACAAAAAACTCTTTATTTGCTTTAATAAGTACGCAGGTAGGTACTCTTTGTTTTAAGTAAAGAAACAGTTTTTGTTTATTCTAATTATAACAAAGAAGGTGCAATTGACCATTTTTAAGTAAAAGAAGAGCCTTAAAACAAATACTTTTATAAAAATGCAATTTTAAGTAAGATTAACATGCATTTCTTCTATATGGCGCAATACCTGAATAGCAAACCTTAACTTCAAAAAATCATATCTTAAAAACTACTCAGTATATTATTTTAAAAATTTAGATTCTTACTAATAAAAAGATGCTCTACACGATGGTGACGAAGAAAAAAAATTACTCGTAGGGTTTTTCTTAGATTACTTCTATTTGCTTCGGACTTTTTCGAACACTGTTGGAAGAAAAGTTTGCCAATATTTAATTTTAAATTGCATATCATTCTAAAGGGCAAGTCCATCCCTTTAGAATGGTTTTTATTTGAAGGAAATCGGCCTAATAGTTATTGAGTAATGATTTTTTAAAGTTAAAGTATTTTAAATTCATTTAAATTAGAAAAAAATTATTTAGTTCAAACTGTGTGGACTTTTTGATTTTTTTTAGTGTATTTGATTTGTCTTACTGAGACGAACAAAATGATATAAAATTTGTCAAGTTGTCTCGACATGACTTTTTTTGTCACCTTGTGTTATCATTCTCAGTAGTCGAGGGCATTTCTATTCGAGACATTAACGATGTTTATTGTTTGGAGGTGCATACAAAACTCTCAATCCGCTATATTAAAAATAACTTACACAAGAAAATGACAATTTTGTCAAATATTGAAGTAGTAATTATAAATATTTGCTTCGAACGGGAAAGAAAGGGTGTGAGTAATTATTGAAGATTAAATAGTGCCCAATTTATGCACTCCCGTATAAGAATAAAAACATCAATAAAATTAATAAATTGTTTAGCTGAATAGGTAGGTAGGTATATAACAGCATGTTCTCAGAAATAAGTGAAATTATATTCCAATGTGGTGTAGAGAATTTTTATGAGGGTAGCTTACAAAAGTATTCTTCAAAAATTTCAGGTAAAAATTTACAGGAAATGATGCTGATAACAGTAACTACTAAACCTTCTTGAAATGTGACATTTATGGAATTCAAGGGAGTGAGTAAGACCAAAGCAAAATATATAAAGGGTGTTGCTGTCCTAAAATTTGCTTATTTTAAGAAACTTTGCTGAAGTGACAGTTTGCGTCTCGGTGCAGGTAATTTTTTTACTTATTTTTGACTTTCACTCACTTGAATTTGTTGTTATAAATACACTTTTTACAGAATGAATTCCTTCTCCGTTTTTTTTTTACTTTTGACATTATGCCATTCGATGTCAGGAAATAAAAATACGGATTCGTTGGGAATTTCAACTACCGTCCCTCCACAAGCAGTTTATCAACCGCAGGATCCGAGCAGATATGTACAACCACCAAGTTACCATTATCCAGACATGTATGGTTCTATTTCGCCCTATGAGAGTTACCTGTATCCTTCAACTGGTTATCTTTCATCGTCACCGATTAGTTCAATGACTGGACTTTTTCCAAGCGCACAGGTACGAAATTTTATTGATAATATGTGATAATATTTATTTTAATATTTAAAATTAAACAAGATAACTCACAAAGGTGAGCCAACTTTATTCAGATTTGTAGATGACTACTAACTTAGAAAATCTTGTAGAACCTTATTAATTTTTTATAACTATTAAATAATAATATTTTTTTTTTAATTGAAGATAGCGTTACTGTGTTGATGTTCAGCAAAATAAAATCCTGTTCCAAATTTTATAATATGTATTTGGTTAAATGGTTACAAAGTTATTACAAAAAAAAAATTCCATACCCAAATTCCAAGAGCTGTAAAATTCTTATCAGTAGAGATAGGACTCGAGTTATTATTTAAATTAACATCATTTTTGAGGTTCAAATATTACTTTATATGTATGAATTACCTGTATGTATAGCCATCGCCGTCTCGATACAGAAATAATCTTTCTCTCGCTTCGGTATTTTTTGAGTTCAACGCTTTAATCTGGGGAATTTTTTTGACAAATCTAGTTTTTAGGCTTAAAGCGTTTAACTTCATAATATCTATTGTCTTGTTTTCTTGTACTCTTTCTTCCCAGTTTTTATTAGTTGCGTTTAAGGTTGCGTTATTTTTCATTAATTCAGTTTTTTCTTAACAACATCCGTAATTAAGAGAAAACTTGGAATCACTGCTGCATTTTTTACGAAATGCCCGGGCGGGATATTGATCCATTTCATTAAGAAGGCGGTGATAGCCATAATTAGGTAGGTCCTGCTCATTGAAAAAATTTAAAGTTACATTGGGAAAATTCAATTACTTTTAGCTCAATTTTTCTAAACGAAACACTCCAATTTTTTTGTATTAACATTTTCTATACCTACCTACAGGATTATTCATAAATATGAATCAATATTTGAACCCAAAAAATGACCTATAAAATGATGTTACTTTATAATAACTCGTGTCCTATCTCTAATGATAATAATTTTACAACTCTCGGAATTGGGGTATGGAAATTGTTTTTTTCTGTAATAACTTCGAAATCATTTGAAGAAATATTACAAAATTTGAAACAGTTACTTGTGAGAACATACCTTTTAAACTGGTAGTCACAAAAACCAAATACATCTACTCCATTTCTGGTTGCTACAGTTGCAGGTCACATTTTCAGCGTTTTTTTGCTTTCTTAACATTAATTTTTTATTGCATAAATCGATAGGGTAATCAATTTCAAATGAAAAACCCATAACTTTTAATACCCCTAAAATGGACCGTTTTGAAAATATTTTAATTTAAAGTGAGGACTGCGATAGAGATCCATTTTTGAATAGGAAAGTGCGAATCCAAAAGAATTTTAAAAAATCTAATATTTTGAAAACGTTTAAACTTAAGTATAGAGAAAGCTGGTGAAAATCACTTGAGTTATTATCCACAACTAAATATTGATAAAAGGGTGACCAGAAAAAAGCCCACACGAAAAATGGGCACAGGAATAAAGCTCAAAAAAAAGCCCACAAACATAAATGCCCACAAGAAAAAAGCTCACATGAAATAATGCTCACAAAGAAAAATTAAGAAATATTAAATAATGATTTGTTTTTTCGTCAATGCATAATTGTCTTCAAGAGATGGTTTGTTAAATTTTTTATTAAAAAATTACATTTTCATTTAACTTGGCCTTTGTCAATATAAAATAAATGGCAACTTAATTCGAATTAGTTTAATTCTGAATTAAATTTTCATTTCGCTTTCTGTAAACCGGCTCCTGAAGGAATTTATCTTGAAACCACTTCAAGTTTGCAATCTGATAATTTAGGATCCTGCCTGGTTGGGATTAGAAGGGTCTGCATCCAGCAGGGGCTGGTTTATTGGGGCGTCATTTTCATTTTGTTCGACTGTACTTTTATGTAACAATAAAAGTCAGTTATTATTATTATTAATAAAGTAGGTAGGTACTCATACATAAGATGAAGAATGATAAACGAATTATTAAGTTGTTAAAGCATAAAAATAATTTTTAACAATGATATTTCTAACAATCCTCGTTCTCAAAATTACAAGAGCAAAATTTGATTTCATCGCTGCTATCGTGGGTTATGATAAGTTCATTAACGATTATACATACATCTAAATGACTTTCCCTACTTAAATATTGGTCTTTATTTGCGATTACATGATTGTAAACTCTTGCAAAATGACAAGTAAGAAAATTTTAGAGAAAAAAATGCACGCCCATAAGTTTCATAAGTGTGCGCATTCCAAGTTTTTTCTCTGATGCTGTCATTTCGCCACCAGACGTAGAATAAGCTCTACGCTCTTGATTTTACACTTCTCTTGAATAGGATTACAGCAAAACTTTATTCTAAAACATTTTTATTGGCATCTGATCGATTATAAATTCACCCACGACAGCAGAGATTGTTTTTGTGAGTTAATTTACTGTGAGCTTTTTTCCCGTGGGCTTTTTGACAATTGGGCCTTTATTCATATGAGTTTTTTTCTGGGTGGGCTTTTTTTATTGTGCGTTTTTTTCTAAGTGGGCTTATTTCTTTGTGGGTTTTTTCCGTGTGAGTATTTTCAGTGTGGGCTTTTTTCTATGGGCTTTTTTCTTGTGCGCAATTTTCGCGTGGGCTTATTTCATGGATTCGATAAAAGTTACCTTGTTTCTCTTAAACTAAAACTGTTAATTTTGCAGGGAGCTTTCCAAGTGGCGCTCAGAATTTTTTCCAAGGTTGGTCTATTTCTCATGGGAGGTATGGTTCTTCTTTTCGTAGGAGGATTGTTTACTACCGCAGTGTGTTCTTTTACACCTCTATGCAATATTACTTTCAATGGATTTAGTAATATTGACAAAGAAACAGTCCGTGCTTTCATGACGCCAGAAAAAATATCAACAGCTGCAGCACTTGTTCAAGATGCCATTGGGAAATATCAACGTCTTCAAAGATCGGGAAATTAATTCAATGTTCTTCTAGATGTAAATATGTTTTTAATAAATATACGATATACTTATGACGCTATTGGCAGTGTTTTTTTTAATTAGTTTGATTATTTTTTGACGTTACGTATTTTAACCTTTGGCATCGTGTTCAGCGGGTAATTTTACCTCTAAAAAACCATATTTCAACTGTTTTTAAACTCAAAATATTTATAAGTTTTTAAAGGTTTTGTGCACTTTTTTGAGTCATTAAGATCACTAGAAATGTAAAAAACGTTAAAACGTTTTAAAGTTAAAATTTTTTTGATTTTTGTCGAGATTTTGGTCGAGCGGTCTATTTATAATAACTCCGGACTTCTTGATGATAACCGCTTATGTTTGGTACCATTGGAAAAAAATTTAATTTTCTTTCATATAAAAAAGATCAGGGTTCTGCGATAAATATACACTGACCAGCATAATTATTGCATTACTTAAATTTTAAGATTTAAAATGGCTAAATAGTTTTGAAAATAGTACTAAAATTGGTGATATACAAGGTGATTCACGAGGAATAATGAGCCTGACCAAATTCTCGATGCAACCACCATTACTTTGCGCAAGTTATTTTGCGACAACTGTAATGTTGGTTGCATCGAAAATTTGGTCAGGCTCATTATTCCTTGTGAATCACCCTGTTGTATTATCAAGTAACTCAGTCGACTATGGATTTTTTAAAAATAATTGGTGTAGATTCATTGTATACTGAATAAATGTCAAATTATCACAAAATCACCGATAATTTCCGAGAGACAACAATAAAAAACTGAGCTTCTTTCCAGGCTCGAGGAGGCAATGCTAGGTATTAATGGTTGCCGTAAGTGTAATTTAATTGTTGAAGTTTAAGTCGTAATTTTAGTTTAACTTAACGTTAATTAGTCAATTAATTAATTTTTGATGAATTTATTTTATTTTAAGCGTTATTTCAATAAAAAATCACTTTTCCCATGTGATGCGATAATTTTGCCGGTGAGTGTAGTTATCGAGAAAATTTCTGATAAACAAATCAAAGAAAAAAAATGAATAAAATTATTAATTAAAATATAGTAAGATTTAACAAAATAAATTTATATTTTTATACCTATGTATACAGGGTGTTTACGGTCTTGGAGTTGAAAATTGACCTAGTTATAGAAGAGTACCGAAGTATTTCGGTACTCGAAAATCGAGCAAAAAAACTCACACAATTGTTATTAGTATTAAGAATGTTATTTAACTCTAAAATATTGGTACACGGTTTGAGGGTCACTGGAATTATTTTCTTGTTCAGATAATATTGTATTGTTGCAACAAATAAAAAAAATTATATCCATGACAATGAAAGAGAAAAGTCACTTCATAGTTTTGACACTGTCATCATTTGATTTGCTTTTGCTTTAGTTTTTATCAAAATTCGAAGATCTTGTGAACATAAAATATTAAAATAATAAATTGGTTGTCGTGATTATGATGGATGGTGAAACACAAGGTAATGAGTGGTAATGATACTAATGGCTATTGTTGCAGCCAAAGCAGCAGTTCTCGAACAAATAATATAAAATGAATTATTTTCTTTCACAACGTTAATTTTTGTTTTATATAGCGTATTGGTTTTCTTCTTCTTAACGTTTTCCCCATTTGAATAGTTTACAGTTGATGTGCCAGACGTCTCTTTTTCTAATTTTAGCGCGTAGCTTAAACGAAGGCACGACGACGTTTTGACGGCATTTTGACGAAATTTTGTGACAACTTAAAAGTTTTATTTAATCTGTCACCTACGATGTACTACATCGTGCTGTCACCTAACGTTTTGTAGGAGTATTTTTTTGTTTAAAATAATAATGACAAAAGTTGAAATCTCCATTTTAGAAAGTAATGCATCGAAATAGACCCTCCCACATAGTTTTTGCAATGAGGCACGAAGTGAAAATGCTTGTAAGTACTCATATTTACATTGACTTGTCAAATTGACAAAAATGGAAAACTGATATTGTCAAAATATGTTTTCCCCATTTGGATAGTTTATTGCCTGCCACCAGAGGTCAGCTACTTTGCTGATTTTCTCCTATATAACGTTTTATTCACAATCACAGGCCCAAATTATTCCAAACTTAATTAATAATTAAACTGACATTTAAACGTCACGCCAAATGTGCTTTTGGATAAACGTAGTAGTAAGCTGTTAGGCGGTGCGCTGGTTACTATAACAGTGGTGTAAAGTTACTTTATTCTACTTGTGGATAAAGTGGTACTTTATACGCATCTAAAGTGTGGAATAAAGTCTCTTTATAGAGTGATTGTGGATAAAAGTTTTACTTAATAATATTCTCGTATAAACAAGAAATTACTCCCTAGGATTTAGGGATATTCGTGAATAGGTTGCCATAAATTTGGTTAGGTTGGTTTTTGGTGACAAACAAAAGATATCACGAGTGTCAAAATTTAGGTTAAGTCACCTGTCAGCTTGTATGGATAATTCAATTGATAGTTGACAGCAGATTGACAGAAAACGTCAACCGTCAACTACAAGGGGTAATCTACAATAAGGATTCAAAATCACTTCTGAAAATTCTAGTTAAAAACAACATGAAAAACGTAATTTGCCTAAAAGTTCAAATCCTAGGTCGTAATTTCTTGTTGACAAATCTGTATGTTTGGTTGCATATCCTACTTTTGAACGAACATTCCAGTGACGTCAATTTGCGCGAATAATGCGCACACGTGATTGGTGCAAAGTTATGAGGCAACCTTCTTTAAAAATCTTGATGGAGCACACTTCTAACCTTACTTTTTTTTTGTAAGTGTCGCTGTTGGCTGACATACGATGTCTCTGATACAATGTGATTACTTGATTAGTGTGAAGTGCTTGTTGCTGCAGTTAACAAAAGTGCTGTAGTTTTCTGTTCGAATAAACTTAATAAACAAATGTTAAATTGGAATTTCTATCCGAGAAGTGTTAAATATTACATTAGTAACAAAAACTTTATGAACTTGATTTTTAATTTACTTAATACTTAAGTTTAGTTTTAAAGGCAAAATGTTTGAACCACATGTTGTAAAGACGGATGTAACAACTGTGAAATTGATTAATAATTACGTTTTTGCCGGTAAGTACTTTTTCAAACAAACTATTTGTAGGTTGTACAACATATTTAATACACAATTTTACACACCTCGATTTTTTTAAAGAAATCTTATAAAGTGTGTTCGAATGGGTTAAGGTTCTAAGGTTATGGTTATCAAGCAGTGGGGGAAGCAAATCGGTGACACAGTGGCGCACCAAGAGCGATTTAAAGGATTTTTTTGCGACAATCCACAAACCGTGTTGTTAAAATACGGCACTGAACTCGTATTGAATAGAATTGATAGAAATGCCTTCGGGCTTGGTTTGTTTGCAAAGAACAAGAATAGATGGAAGGAGAATTGGTGCCGCCGTATTGCAACTCGTACTAAATTATGCAATCAACAATACACCTGTGCACCACAATAGTACTAAAAAAGGGGCGTTTTTGGCACTAAATTTGTCACTGGAATCTAGTGTAACACAGAATTCTTTTTCTTTATATATTCTCTGTTCATAAATTAAAGAAACACCCAACCGGCAATAAGGCTCAAAAATTCAACCGGCAACGTTGTCTAGTTATATTTTCTAGTGGGAACGTATGTGTCAAAAAAATAAGGTTATGTTTTCGTTTTTACAAAGTTTGTTGACCAACGGAACTCAGAGAAGTCTTATATGGATTTAATATCTTAGATGGTATTGGGCGACATACGTCGTTGCGGTTTTTGGTTTTTCAGGTTTTAAATTTGTAGCACGGAGAATTGAAAATTGGTTCAAAAGGACCACCGGCAGACACAGAAGCAACTTCTTCTCACCCCGACGGTTTCAGCAAAAGTTTCAATGTCCCATTTGCATTGTTGTTATGATGATAGCGTTATTTTATTTGTGATAAGTTGATGGTTCTGAGAAGAACCGATTTTTTTAAAACTTGAATGTGGAACAATGCAAAACTAAAAGAAATTCTCTTTATTGGATTCATCATGATCTGAACTTGACCAAGTTGATGAAGAATCAGAATCAGCCAGATCAATTATTATTGGAGGAATGTTCAGCTGCAGGTTCAAAAAAAAAAAGTCAATAGAAAATCTAGGTTGGGGTAATCTTGTAGGTAGTTTTGTAGATATTGAGACTTCGCGAGAGTTATAAATCGAATTTATCCATTTTCTATGTATAATTTTTGCGA